AAGAAAACATAGAATTATTAGACCATCCGCCGTACAGCCTCGACCTAAGCCCTAATGATTTCTATACTTTCCTTAAAATAAAGAATAAATTGCGTGGACAGAGATTTTCATCACCTGAAGAAGCTGTGGACGCCTACAAAACGGCCATTTTGGAGACCTCAACTTCCAAATGGAATGGTTGCTTCAATGATTGGTTCCATCGTATGGAAAAGTGTCAAATTTCGCGGAAAATACTACGAAAAGCAATAAATACATTTTTGAATAGTAATGTTGTGTCACTTCCTTGATTCCCGAAATTTTCAGTGCCGCCCTCGTACAAAGTCCTTCAGAAGCTCTTCAATTCCGTTCTCCATGGTGTCATTACTCCGGAGGCGTGGAGCATAAGTGCGGTGGTTTTGTTCTTCAAGAAAAGCGACAACGCTCTTTTGAAGAACTACAGACCGAATACCCTTCTGAGCCGCGTCCACGTGCTGTTTTCGAGAGTTATTACCAAGCGTCTCGCACGCAGATTCGACGACTTCCAGCCTCCCTAAAAAGCTGGTTTCCGAAAAAGCATCAGTACCGTAGATCACATACATATAAACCAAAGAGTACAAATTGCCACTTTGCCTGGCGTATGTTAACTATGATAAAGCTTTTGATTTCGTCGAGATTTGAGCGGTGCTACAGTCTCTTCAGCGGTTCCAAGTTGACTGTCGGTATATTGAAGTGCTAAAGTGTTACTACATCTATTACCACAGCTCGAAACCTATCCATCTGCAGAGAGGTGTAAGACAGGGTGACGTTATATCACCGAAACTCTTTACCGCTGCATTGAAAGACGTTCTTAAGCTACTGGACTGGAAAGGATACGGTATTAACATCAATGGCGTGTACATCACTCAGCTTTGATTTGCCGACGTTTCCTTATGGCGAAATCGTTGGAGGACCTAAGCACTTTGCTCAATAACCCCAATTATGTCTCCCAATAGATAAGTCTTAAGATGAACATGAACAAAACAAAAGTCGTGTTTAATATCCATGTCACACCTATGCTGGTAGTTGTTGGGAGCATAAAAGCTCGAAGTTATTGACGAATACATTTACCTGGGCCAAGTAGTCCACTAGGTAAGTCCAACTTCGACCGATAGGGCAATCGACGGATTCAACTCGGCTGGGCAGCGTTCGGTAAATCACGACACATCTTCTCGTCAGGTATACCTTAAAACCTGAAGGGGCTATGCTCGGGGTTTCTCTGCGTGATAAACTTAGAAATGAGGATACCCGCAGTAGAACTAGAGTGCCCGACATATCCCAACGGGTTAGTAAGCTGAAGTGGCAATTGGCCAACTATATAGCTCGAATAACCGACAACCGATGGGGAAAAATGGTTTTTGAGCAGTCTCGTACCGGTAGCCGTAGTGTAGGGCGACCCTCTACTAGATGGAGTGACGATCTGGTAAGACATGCAGGAAGTCGATGCATGCAGGTGGCTCAGGACCGTGATTTGTGGCATTACTTGGGGGAGGCCTATATTCAGCAGTGGACTTGTGAGGGGCTGTAATGATGATGATGAATATATTGGACTTCAGTCAACAACTCTACTATTGTAATGCTCATGCATCATAGATACATTCAATAATAATACATTTATATAATGGACCTTACAATTATATATCTTAAAGATATGGGACTTCAATCGACAACTATACTATTGTAATGCTTATGCATCATAGAGACCTTCTATAATAATGCTTTTGTATGATAGACCTTCACCAAACGGCATTCGCTGAAGGTCATACAGGTCTACGCACCAACCTCGGCACATCCCGATGAGGAGGTGGAGGAAATGTATGAGGATATTTCTAGAGCCATGCATTCCTTCAAAACCCACTAGACGGTGTTGATGGGAGACTTCAACGCAAAACTAGGCACAAGAGAAGGCGGTGAGCTGAAGTTAGGGAATTTTGGAGTAGGGCAACGGTACCGTAGGGGCCAGCAGCTGGCTGACTTTATGGAGAAAGAGGGACTCTTTATGATGAACTCTTTCTTCCAGAAGCGGCCCCACAGGAAGTAGACCTGGTCGAGCCCCGACGGTTCGACAAAAAATGAGATTGACTTCATTATGACGACCAGACGCCAACTGTTCAGTGATGTCTCAGTGATCGCAAGGGTAAAAACCGGCAGCGATCACCGAATGGTTAGAGGCACACTGAACCTAAACGTTAAGTTGGAGAGGTCTCGTCTAATGAAGTCAACGCTCCGTCCCCCTCGTGCTCTAATCCAGAATCCCGAATCTTTTCAGCTCGAGTTACGTAACCGCTTTCAGTGCCTAGAAGATTTCAATGCAGTGGACGATATGAATGACAAGCTCGTGGAAACTGTCCATGCGGTCGGAGCTAAGTTCTCCAAGACCCGCCGCAGAAGAACACAAAAAAACAAGACGTTTTCAAGCTATTGGACTGGAAAGGATACGGTATTAACATCAATGGCGAGTACATCACTCAGCTTCGATTTACCGACGATATAGTCCTTATGGCAGAATCGCTGGAGAACCTTAGCACTATGCTTAATGACCTCAATGGTGTCTCCCAACGGATAGGTCTTAAGATGAACATGGACAAAACAAAGATCATGTTTAATGTCCAAGTCACACCTATGCCGGTAGTTGTTGGGAGCACTATGTTCGAAGTTGTTGACGAGTACGTTTACCTGGGACAAATAGTCCGACTAGGTAAGTCCAACTTCGACCGAGAGGTCAATCGACGGATTCAACTCGGCTGTGCAACGTTCGGGAAATTACGACACATCTTCACGTCAGGTATACCTCAATCTGAAAACTAAAGTGTACAACCAGTGCGTGTTGCCAGTGATGACTTACGGATCAGAGACGTGGTCCTTCACTGCTGGCCGTATGAGGACGCTCAAGGTCGCTCAGCGAGCTATGGAGAGGGCTATGCTCGGAGTTTCTCTGCGTGATAAACTCAGAAATGAGGATATCCGCAGTAACAGAGAGAACCAGAGTGACCGACATAGCCGAACGGATTAGTAAGCTGAAGTGGCAATGGGCCGGCCATATAGCTCGAAGAACCGATAACCGATGGGAAAGAAAGGTTCTCGAGTGGCAGCCTTGTACCGGTAGGCGTAGTGTAGGGCGACCCCCCACTAGATGGAGTGACGACCTGGTAAGACAAGGCGTTACTTGGGGGAGGCCTATGTTCAGCAGTGGACTTGTGAAGGGCTGTAATGATGATGATGATGATGATAATAGACCTTACTGTCACAAGCCCCTTATATAGAACCATACATTGTGCGACAGTACTATAGTAGTCAATCACCCGACAACCTATATATATGTACACCCATGGGTATAAGTCTCCCGCAACTCTATTATATAATCAATCCCTACACGAACACTCTCCATCTATATAGGAACACGGAGCTACTTTCGGTCTATAAATTTTTGAACAGTTTTTCTTATAAATGTTATTTATTCTTATTATTATAATGTATTCGACTTGTATTCGAAGTGTATTGTTTATAATGTATTCGATATGTCTGATGTATGTGTGATATTTTATAATTATATTTTTTTTCTTTAATTTAATACATTTAAAATATTTTAACAGATTTTTAATGAATTTTGTGATTATAAAGGCAATATTAAAGGCTTTTATTATAATTTACTACTTAATGCCTGTACTTTAACTTCATGCTTATTAATGTATTTTTAATTGTTTAAAATATTAATTTTAATATAATTTTGGATGAATTTATATAGAAATTATTTATTAATTATTATTATTATTAATAATAATAATGCGCCATTACATCCTAAGGACACAGATTGAATTTGGATGGAGGGGTAGACATCTGCAAATTATTTTACTTCTTTGCTGTACTCATTACGATAGACGAAGCAAACAATAAACATGTTTACATGTTTACGTTACTAAATTTAAATCGTTCTGTTATAAAATCACAGTATACCAGAATTTTATATAGGCAAGACCAGATTGTTTACTTTTAATTTGTGCTTATGCATGCTTGAAAAATTGAAAATTTAGGGCTGTGGCAGCTTAGGGGCTAAGAGCTCGTCATGGAACGCGAGCTACTCGAGTTCGATCTCCGGCGGCTCCAATGAATTTGTTAATTGCAATTTTAAGAGCCGATACACCACCAACTCGACGGTAAAGAAAAACCTCGTAAGGAAACATGCAAGCATGAAAAATTAAAAAAAATATTTCGAAGAATGTAGACTAACAGTTCACACATCATAATCGGGTTAGCGCAAAGAACACTTCCCTATCCTTAATTCCTCTTAGAAAGTGGAGGCCTGTGCCCAGCTATGCAACATAATATAAAGGCTCTAACTACTGATACCACTACGACCAAGTCTGACAACTCTAGTAAATTAAGAAACTAACGTATAATGTGTTATTATTTGCCTTCACCTGTATATGTGCTCAAACTCTACAATATAAGCTCTTTTAAAGTGCGAGTAAACTTTTTGTAAATAATTTTATTTTTAACCCTTAATGCACCACCCTGAGTCCACGGGACTCACCACCACTTTTAAACAACAACAAAAAAGTTTATTTTTTAGAGTTTACACTTGCGCTTTTTAGTACCTTCTTGCAATGAGTCGCAGGACGCAGAGGTGAGAGATCGCGTGCTCAAATCGTTCGGAAAGGTAAATATGATCGAATGTGAGTCCTAGCGACTCATGGTGGAGTGTTGTGTGGCAAAAATGGATTTACTGCCTTTTATGTTTATCTATGTTAATTTTGTTGTAGCCTTTTACTATGGCATCTTAACGTGCATTTGAATCGGTAAACATTTCAGATTTAGCCTCAGATGTCATAAAATAATGGCTTTTTTTCATAGAAGAGGGGGCAAACGAGCATACGGTTCACCTGATGGTAAGTGACTACCGCCGCCCATGAACAACCGCAACACCAGCAGATTTGCAGGTGCGTTGCCGGCCTTTTCGACAGGAGTAAGCTCTTTTCTTTTCTTGAATGAGGCTGCAAGAAGATGATTTACTGGGCAAAGATGAGGAGATTGACGATGGCAGCGGCTATGCAGCTGAATGTATTCGTGAGCCACATTCTGATAACGAGTACGCCGATTATATTGTGAGTGATCACGACACCAATTCCGAATGCTCCGAGACTGAAGAAATCCTGTTCTTCTTTTCTTTCCTGTTCTTCTGTTCTTTTGAACTTTTGTACTATCCTTAGTAACTTGGACAACATACCATTCCTTAGACATTCCTGATCAAGACCATGTACAACGCAAACTGATGATATTTTACACATACAAATATTGCTATACTTGCAATCATAAGAAACGAACATAGACTGCTTATCTTTGCATTGTCTGTAAGTAGCCAATCTGCCTTACTTGTTCCAAAAATATATGCCAAGAATGTGTAACACATTAGTATGTTAACTTACTGCACGTTTTGAAATTTTGTATAGTGCCATTATAAATTATTATTATTTTTAATTACCTCATAACGTCTTCTATAAGAAAAAATATTTTATTTTGTCCGAGAGCTACAACATTTATTTTTCTTCTGTAAGTCGTAATGGACGATTTTTGATGACTGTTAATTTTAAAGTATTTGTAAACTGCATGTTAATTTGAGTTCATCACAAAATATTTATATATTGTATGTACGAATTATTTTGTTTGCTAGAAGTGTAATAAATAAGAACATAAATTACATTTGTCGTTTAGTTTTTATTTAAAAAATTCAAACATGAGCTTCGGGGACTCATGGTGGTAATAAGTGATATTTTATTAGGGTGGTAGATCAAGGGTTTAAAAAAAGATATATTATGCCTAGATCTTTTTCTAATATTTTTTGCATATTTGAGTAACGTATTGAATCAGTTTAATATATTATTCCGCTTTTAAACACAAAATTCTCCGTAAATAACACACAGAATATGTAATCCGTATCCAATTAACAAGTTTTTTTCTTTATTATGCATCCGCGTAGTATTTCATACCAGTCACTGAGAGGCGCAATTTCATATAGCTAATAAAGTATGAGAATGCAGCTGACTGAATTTGTATATTTGCCCCTAAAAATTTTAAGACTCTTTTTACTTCTTTTGCAAATGTGCTCGTCTGACTCAGTAAAAACTTGGCCGCAGTAGGTATCAAGACATAAAAACTTTGTTATTTCTTCAATCCTGTTTAAATTTATATCAAACAAATTTCTATAACTCAAGGTATTCACATGATACTATAATAAAACTACAAAATCACCACCTAGCGATCATATAATATGAAGTTTATGAATAATGTAACGTGTCGTGTTCGCGTAAATAAAAAGAAATCATTACATACACCGTAATTAAATCACCAACTCTAAGCGTGTGCACGGCCTCACATCATGCTAGACCCTAACAGCCGGGGTTAAAAAATTACAAAATAATATTATTCGTCAGGTCACGCGGTCATTAGTCACTTTCATCATTTTATAATAATGTTATGTCGTGTACGTTTATAAATCATAGATCTGATTACACTAGTTATATGTAAATTCTTTCAATGTGTTTAATTTTGTTTTTTCGGTCACTCTGGTTTTACTTCGAATATCCTCATTTCTAAGATTATCACAAGAGAACCCTGAGTATAGCCCTCTCAATAGCTCGTTTAGTGACCTTGTGCTTCCTCGACCGTCCAGTTGTGAAGGCCCAAGTCTCAGCTCCGTAAGTCATCATTGGCAATACGCACTGGTTTTACAAACTTGTTTTCGTGTTTTGAGGTATACCTGACGCGATGTGTCGTAATTTCCCGAACATTGCCCCGCTTAGTTTAATCTGTTCATTATACTTGTGGTTAGGTCAACAATTTTGAGCATAGTGTTCCCAAAAACAACCGGCATGGACGTTCAACATCGCCTTTGAATGTCCATGTTCATCTTAAGACCTATCCGTTGAGAGTAGTAGGACTATTGAGGTCATTGAGTTCTCGCTTAGGTCCTTCAACGGTTTTGCCATAAGGACTATATGGTCAGCAAACCGAAGGTGAGTAATGTACTTGCCGATATTGTTAATATTGTATCCTTTCCAGTCCATTAGCTTAAAAACATCTTTACATGCAGCGTTGAAGAGTGTTGGGCATATAACATCACCCTGTTTTACACCTCTCTGCAGTTGGATAGGAATCGTAATCAGGTTCTGTGTTCGGATAGCCATCGTTCCCCCATTGTACAAGTACGTCAGTACTTCAATATTGACTCAGTCACCTTGTTACTGCTGAAATGACTGGTAGCAACACCCAAATTTCGACAGAATCAAGAATCATAGTCCACATACGCAAGACAAATAGACAGATTGTACTCTTTGGACTTCTGTATAATTTTTCGAAGGGTGTGTATGTGGTCAACCCTTTTTTAAAACCGGCTTGTACGGAAGCTGGAAGCCATCGTGTCTGCATACGAGACGATTCGTAATGACTCTCGAAAACAGCACGTAGATGCGGCTCAGAATAGGAAAATCGATCTGCAGTCAGTCAGTAAGTATGTCAGAGACTACAAAACACTACACATAGAATATATATTCCCAAAAAGTTCTCCAAGAGAGAAATGTCGCCTTTATTGAAGAACAATATAACCATAGTTCTACTCCCATCCTTTCTCTCCCATATTTCGCTCCCACACCATTTAAGACAGAATTGAAGAGCTTCTGAAAATTTCAAGTACTGGTTTTCCAACCGCTTTCAGAAGCTCCGCTGTGTCAATCCTTGCGATTTTAAGGTGCTGCTGAACCATTTTAATCTCACTCAGACTGTAGTCCGGGATATCATTGGAATAGTGTCGAAAAGACTTGATCTTGGATCGTTAGATCTAATCTATCATTAGCTGCCCATAGAATTCTTAAATATTACTCAAAATCTCTGGTTGCTTGGAACAAACGCTGCTACATTCGGTTATTTCTTCAATACGAGCTTTATTTAATTTACGTAAGTCCCACCGCGTGCATTTGGAGATCTGTCTATTCAGTTGCGCAGTAGCATAACGACTCCGTGGCGCAGTGGCTTAGCAATGAGTGGCTCCATTGGGGGTCGCGGGTTCGAATCCCACACGGAACAAGTATTTGTATGGCCTACAAATAGTTGTTCCGGGTCTGGATGTTTGTCCTTGTGCAGTTTATGTTTGTAAACTGCCCCCACAATACAAGAGAAAATCTTAGTGTGGGGGTAACGTTTTTTAAAAAAATAAAGAAAGAAAAAATAAGAAATAAGTTGCCTGTATGCTGTCAAACCTGCTGAAGATTTCAGCTTCATTTGCTGTCTAACAGGCACGATATTAAAAGTTTTTGTGTTTTTCTGCATCAGATCTTGTAGAACTAAGTTACAAGCATATGTACAGTTTTCACGAACTTGTAAATTATATCGTCCACTTCTTTACAGTGTTCTAGGCACTGAAAACGATTTTGTAACTCGACTTAAAAGTTTTTGGGACAAAGCACGGTCCTGAGTCACCTGCATTCACCGACTTCCTGCATGTCTTATCAGGTCGTTACTCCATCTAGTGGGGGTCACCCTACACTACGCCTTCCAGTACGAGGCTGTCACCTAAGAACCTTTTTTTCCCAACGGTTGTCGGTTCTTCGAGCTTTATGGCAGGCCCTACTAATTCGTTGGACTATGTCGGTCACTCTGGTCTACTGCGGATATCCTCATTTCCTAATTTATCACGCAGAGAAACCCCAAGCGTAGCCCATAGCTCCCTGAACGTCCTCCATAGCTCGCTAAACGAATTTGAGCGTCCTCTTACGACTAGCAGTGAACACGACTCACTTTGACTTGGGAAACTTCTTTATGTCGAACTATCTCGATTTTATTTTTGTCGTAAAATTTAAGTTTTGTTATTCACTTTTTTAAAAACTTACTGATCACTTCCAAGTTTTCCAAAAGAATATTTTATTAATATTCCGGTCAGTGGCGTATCCATAAAAAACACGTGTGATTCAAGCATAGGAAAATTTTAAAAATCTTGTAAAAATAGTGAAGTAATAATAGCCTATAAAGATAAAAATTAAATAGTTTTAAAATTATAGTACTAGCTCAATATGCCATGCTGCAGCTGAATTTTGGCTATGTTTCTTCACTCATCTGGCTACAGTATTCACAGTCAAAGTCACAGTCAGCAAGCCATGCTCAGCACTGAAATAAAATATATTTAAGAAGCTTGAAAGCATGAGAAAACTTGCAATTTTATGTGTTGATTTACCACATGCTCGGCGGAGGAGGAAAACGCCACGCCCACAAAAAACAATACAAATGAAGTTCGCCACTAAGCGTTTTGATGGCCATTTCCTTGCCTTTAAGAAAATAAAAGGAAACTTGTGCCCCGGAATAGGATGTACATAGGCTGTAACGTTACTTTTACTTTTAAGTTTCCTAAAGCTTAATAGTGCTGTAAGCCTTGAGTGCAGAAGCAAATCGTAATGTCCATTTTAAAGTTAATTGCAAAGATATTAGCCGAGATACATTACTAAAGTTGTTTCTTTTGTAATCTTAAGTACAAAAATGCCGGTTGTTATTTAGGGCTTTGTCGTTCCATTTCATGACAGAGCAAGAACAAACTGTCAAGATATAATAAGGCTATTTTGAGTTCTACTGGAGGAAGATTTTTTGTAGAGAACACAGTTGAAAACTCGTGCTAGCTCATATTATATGGCGAATTATAATAAATATTATTTTTTAGTGTCCTTTATAAGCATTGAAAAAATATTATTCAGCGTCAATGAACCAAGCAGTATAGTTACTTCATGAACTATATAGTTACCCCACCGTAGAGGGTAAGTACAAACCAAACAAAAAAATACTTTGGTAAGTAAAGTTTTAGATTTTGCTAAAGTTAAGGATAACGTATTTATCTTTTATAGATATTTTTTTAATTTATTTAAGGTAATGAATGATATATTATCCTGATGAAAATTTTCATCTCAAGGGGTACATCAAAATGTTCAAACGCAAACACAATACTTAGTAAATACTTCCCTCTTGTCTTTTGAAAATAGTTTATTTATTTATTTTAAAGCAATGAATAATACCATAATGTAAATTTGCATCTCAAATGGTAAATCAAATTTTTTTCAACGCAAACAAAAAGCCTTCTAAATACCTTCCCTCATGATAATATATATGTATTAAATAATATATATTAAAATTTCTTAATATTACCTTAATATGAAACTGCGGACCAAAACAAAGC